TGGAAATAGCAGAGCATGGAGACAAGATAAAATTAGATTAGAACGCAACAAATATGTTGCGGATATCAAAATTACAGAAGAATGCTATCTCCTAAGCTTCACTTCAAGCTTTGCTTCTCTATTCATTCTCCCACTATCTTGAGATTATCGACAAATTGTCATCCGACCTAAGCCGATACAATTTCAGCATTTTCCTGACCAATCTCATGCCGAATGTGCTCCTATTTTGCACAACTTCGAATGCTTCTTGAGTTTAAAGGCATGACTGTATTTCCGTAGTTTACACTTGTTACTCAGCCTATCGTACAACATTTTGGCTGCAGAACTCTTGACGGTCATGCACACGCAATAGGTCCTCTGAAAAAGTCATCTAGAGAGAGATTTCAAGGAAGTTTATGTTCGTGAAATGAGCGTAAGCCCAAGGAAACTGGAACAGATGCGGTAGAATTAATTCATCGCCCAGTAGCTTTAAGCGTTTCTAGGGTCAATAGAGCACCTAGAAACAGACTTTGATTCCAGATATTTTTTTTCTCTTCAAGATTCAACAGCAACGATTTTATACAGCGAGAGAATCTTTGAAAGGCGTAACATGTACAGTTAGAAGACGAATATGACTAAGCGAATGACACGATTCGAAGGAAGTGCGTGGGCGCCTATTGCGAAAATACAGCTGCTGTGTCCCCCTCAGAGATGTCTCTTGAAGCAGGCAAAAACCATTGGCAGCTTTACACAAAACGGAATTTCATTAAGGTTTGCATTTTTTATGCCTTCTACTACATCCCCCAATAGTGCTAAAATCTTCTTCAGGTAGGCGATGGAGACAGAATAGTGTGTCTTAAGCGAAGGATTGAACACCCTAGCAACAAAAAACAACAGAGGATAATCCGACTAGTTCCAGTACCAGCTGAAAGCGCATTACGACGAGGCGACATTCTTACTGACCTACAATCACCTTCGGTAAATCATAGAATTTTGAAGCCACTTTTCAACTAGTCAATGATTTACGCCATTTTTCTGAAAAGTAGAAAAAGGAAAAGTAATAATCGTAGGCTTCCAACTCTGCTCTTTTCCACGATAGGTTGAGTGAAACCTACAAATTATTTCCTATTTTTTATTTCTTTAGAGTGACATAACACTCTGTCCTTGAGATGAATTTTTATTACATAGCTGTTGTTTTCAAGTGAATATGAAGTATCACTTATATGCTGAGTACAGCGCTTAAGCGCCGCAAATAGCAATTTATTCTAATCACCCATCCTGTAATGTATTTTGATAATGTTCACGAAATCTACAGGCTCTGACCCAGCCTCAATTTGGAAGTGAAAAGCAAAGTTTAATTCCATTTCCCATTCAGATTGTTGTCTCTGTCATTTAGGAAACTCAAATTGGAGGAGTCCAGAGAAACTTGTACGACTGCCC